TGAATAGTATCCCTTTAGAATTTTGATTGGCATGTCACTCTATTGGTGAATTCACATAGGTAGTCTTTTCATTTTTATGTTTACACAGCCTAGCTATGAGCATTCAATAGTCTTCATGGAGATTGTGGGTGCTTTGCTAGGATGTGGTAGATTATTTTCATTTCATTTTATTTTGAATGTTATTGCATTCTGGATTTTGGTATTATATAAAAGTGCTGTTGATATATCATTTTATGTTGTAGACTGTAACTTTGTTCAAGCTATTCATTTTTAGTTTCTGATTACCTTTGATTTTCTAAGTAAATCATCATCCTAGTAGCAGATAAGGATGTTTTTGCTTCCTTTGTCTATTACTTTTTGTTGTTATTAGAATTTCTAGAGTTATGCCAGATAATGAGGAAGAGGCGTGCTTGACTTGTGTGTTTGTTGGTACAAAAGCATTTCCTCGTGGTATAATGCTGCGTTTTGGTTTTAGAGAGGTAATTGTCATTGAAAAAAAATTCCCTCTATGCCTGTATTTGGTAGTTTTTTTGCGTGCATGAGTGTTATAGAACAACCTTTGGCTAAGTAGCAGCTGTTGTCATAACCTCGTTCTCATTCTCCTTTTAGTCCTTCCTTTCTGTGCATGCGGGCCAGTTACCTGACCCCTCTGCTTCTCCACCTTCTCTTGCTGGTGACTTGAGTATTAAGTGAGCATCACAGTGCTAAATGTTCTTCCCCGGGTGGCGACTATTTGAAAGTTTCCTTTTGAGATGGGTTTTTAGTTGGGGCCTGCTATTTTGTACTACAGTATGACTTTAGGCAAGGTCCGGGTATAGCCTGGGGGAAGTAATTAATATTTATAATTTGTAATTTTATAATAATTTATAATATAGAATTTTATATAATATTTTAAAATTTATATATTATATGATATATAATATCATATATTATATATTATGTACTTAAAATGTATAATTTATAATAAGAGTTAATAATTTCCCTGCCTACTTCACAGGCAACCTTGGCCTGAAATAACCATTTGATGGATGTTTGGATTTCACTTATTAGGTGCTGGAAGTGCTTTGCTTGAGATACAAGGTTAGAATTGTTTGATTACACAAGACTGGGTGGAATCAGAAACTCTGTAGTCTGTTTTCTTAGGCTGGGAAAGGTGAACCCTTTTCAGAGTGTAGGTCCAGAGCTTAATTTTTTTTGCCGTTTATTCATTCATTCATCTATTCATTCATTCATTCATTCAGGCAGTTGGGGTTAAGTGACTTGTCCAGGGTCACGCAGCTAGTAAGTTTCAAGTGTTTAGTCTGAGGCCTGATTTGAACTCAGGTCTTTCTGACTTCAGGGCTGGTGCTCTATTCACTGCCCCACCTTGCTGCCCTATTTTTTTGCCTTTTAAGTAAAGCTGTGGCCTTCATTGATCTGATACAAGATTAATTCTTGTATGCTGTTATGTATCATAACTGTAAGAAAACCTTTTTCATAGGGTAGGCTTTTATATTCCAAAGAAGGGCTGGATTGAAAAACTAGTGACTGGTCTCCTGTGTCTTATTCTGGGACAGTCTCTCTAGGGGGAAGGCATCCTCCACCCCCTTTATTATTCATTTATTTTTTGGTTTCGAGTAATATTCTCTCCCTCCTCTCAATCCCTCCCCCACTCATTGAGAAGGCAAGCAATACCAAATCAATTATTCATGTGAAGTTATGCCAAACATTTTTGTATTAGCCATGTTGAGCCTCCCCCCCCCCAAAAAAAAAGAAAAAGAAAATAGAGAAAGTGCCTCAGTTGTATCAGTTTTCTCTCTGGAGGCAGGCAGCTTTTTTTTTTTTTTTAAATCATGATTCCTTTGAAACTGCCTTGTATCATTGTATTGATTGGAGTAGCCAGGTCTTTCACAGTGGGTCATCATTACAATATTGCTGTTGACTGTGCAATGTTCTCCTGGTTCTGCTCACTTCACTTTTTACCAGTCAACAGTTAATATATCTTCCCAGATTTTTCTGAAAGCATCCTGTTTGTCATTTCTTATAGTACCATAGTATTCTGTCAACAATCATATATATCACAGCTTGTTCAGCCATTCCCCGATTGATGGGCATCCCCTCAATTTCCAATTTTTTGCCATCACAGAAAAGCTGCTATAAATATTTTTGGTACATATAGATCTTTTCCCTTTTTCTTTGATCTCTATGGGATAAAGATCTAGTAGTGATATTGTTGGGTTAAAGAGGTTTGATAGCCCTTTGGCCATAGTTCCAAATTGCTGTATAGAATGGTTGGATCAGTTCACAACTCCACCAGCAATGTATTAATGTCTCAATTTTTCCACATCCCCTCCAGCATTTGTCATTTCCCTTTTCTGTCATATTAGCCAATCTGATAGGCGTGAGGTGGTACCTCAGAGTTTTTAAAATTTGTATTTCTCTAATCAGCAATGATTTACGATATTTTTTTGGTTTGTTTTATTTTTTATTTTTTTTGTGAGGCAATTGGGGTTAAGTGACTTGCCCAGAGTCACACAGCTAGTGAGTGTTATGTGTCTGAGGCTGGTTTTGAACTCAGGTCCTCCTGATTCCAGGGCTAGTGCTCTATCCACTGCACCACCTAGGTGCCCCTAGAACATTTTTTTAATGTGACTCTTGATATCTTTGATTTCTTCTGAAACTGCCTGAAACCACAGCTCTTGTTCTTTTAGTATCTTTGGGATGTTGGAATGCTGCTGGGTTTTGGGGTTTGCTTTCATACTTTTGTGTATAGGTCCATCTGTCAGCCTGAACATCTCTATATCTCTTCATCTCTGAGCTGTCATTATCCTCTGTCATGATATGGTATTCTATCTCCTTGTCCACGTGCGTGTTTCCTTTGACATCAGCATGGCCAGCTTTGCTCACCTTGGGTCTTTTCATTGCCCTTTGGGTTTTCTGTGGTTATAATTCTTCTGAGATCATAGTTTTCTAGTCTTTGTAACCATATTAATAGTATCAACAAGAGCTTTGCAACAATGAATAGTTTGGAATTGTTGAAAGCATCCATTTCCTAAATGCGTTCCAACCTGATCTGTTTATCTTTTATTCAAATGTGGGCACCTAAGATCGTGTTCATCTGCAGTGTTGGTTCTAAATACACTTATTGATAAGACTAATTTGACAGGCTGTTTGTCATCTGGGTAAGATATTATCTACTTTGTTCTTTTATTAGATTGATTTTTTTAATGCGTTATTGTGGATTTCATTGTGGGAGCTTTTGGTCTTTGCAGGTAATTCAGTGTCCTGTGACTGAAGCATTTGTAGAGCTTTACCATCAATAGGAAATTCTTGACTTGTTTATCTTGGACATGAGGCAGCTAGGTAGTCCAGTGGATGGAATGTTAGATTTGGAGTTGGAAGACCTAAGTTTGAATTCTGACTCTGGCACTTACTGAGTGACTGGACAAGACATTTTATCTCTCAGTTTCAGTTTCCTTATTTGTAAAATGGGGATGGGATAATAGCATCTGTTTCACAGGGTTGTGCCAATAAAACGACACAACATATGTAAAGTTCTTTGCAAACTTTATTTTTCTTTTTTCTTTTTTTTTTTTTGGCTAGGCAGTGGGGTTAAGTGACTTGCCCAGGGTCACACAGCAGGTATTATGTGTCTGAGGTCACATTTGAACTCAGGTCCTCCTGACTCCAAGGCTGGTGCTCTATCCACTGCGCCGCCTAGCTGCCCCTTTTGCAAAATTTAAGCACTGTTACAGGCTAGCTGTTATTATTATTAGTGCATGATGCTAGCAAAAATACCTTAGTTTCACATGAGAGTCTTTGTTCATGGATAATAATAGTGGACATTCATATAGTGTTGATTATATGCCAGGCACTGTGTTATGCCTTTTACAGGTAGGTATCTCATTTGATCCTTACATTAACCTTTGGAGGTAGGTGCTTCTGTTATCCCCATTTTACATATGAGTAAACTGAAGCAAACAGGTTAAGTGACTTATTCAGGGTCACAAAGCTATAAATGTCTGAGGCCAGATTTGAGCTTGTGTCTTTCTGATTCCAGACCATTTTATAGATGATGAAACTGACAAGATAAGTCACTTGCTGTAGTAATAAGTGGCAGAATCAGGCTTTGAACCCAGGTTCCTTGACTCCAAATCCACCATTCTTTTTACTAACTCACACTGCCTTATCTAGGCATGATGTGTCAAGGTTCTGAATTGAGGTGGTGGCAGTGAGAATTTGGCAAGGAAGCCAGAGACAAATCCAGCAAGCACCACTAGTCCTTATCATTGCTTTGGATCTGGAGGAAGAAGGAAAAACTAAAGAGGAATCTTAAGATTTGTCTTAAGAGAATGTATTTCGTGTGAGAGAATGTTGGGATCATTGATGGATTTCCAGAAATCCTGGTTTGTTTGAGGAAAAGAAGAGAGGGATGGATGAACTCCTGGACCCATGGGCATGTAATAAAGCAACCACTTGGAACTATCAAGGCAGGTTACATATGGAACTTAAGTTTGCAGGTGTAGTCAGAGCTGGAGGTGTAGATTTGGGTGACAGAGCCTGAGAGAACACACCAGACAGGAAATGAATGTAAAGTAATGGGAGCAGAGCCATGGACATGGAACCTTGGTGAGTCCTGGGATTTATTCCTTGGGAAGAGGAAGAACTAGAGAAGGAGTTACAAGTGGCAGTTAGAAAGATAGGAAGAGGATCAAGATTAGGGGAGTGATACAGAAGCAAGAAAAAAACTAAAAAGGGAAGATTTTCAGAGATATTCAGCTCTGCTGGAGCAAGTAAGAAAAATAAAGGAAAAAGCCATTTGATTTGGGTGAGGTGCCAGACAGCAGGTGCACATTGCTAATAATAATAATAGTCATTATAACTTAAGATGGGCACGTTGGTGGGACAGGCAGTACTTTTCTCTGGCATACTTTCTTCTGTTAATCCACTTTAAAGACTGTCAGTCTCATGGTAAAAGATGGTTGAATAAAATGATCCTTTTTTTTTTTCCCCCCTTGTAGGACAAACATCATGATGCTGCTCATGAAATCATTGAGACCATTCGGTAAGCATTTAGTATTCTATCTGTTGGAAAATCTATGTTTTTCCTCTCATGTCAGGATACGTATGAAGAGGAATCTGTTTACACAGTGATGAGTTAATCACATTTTTATGACCCCAAGCTCTGCTGACTCTCTATGCTTACTCACAGATAGCTGATTCAGATTATTGCGTAATACATTTGGCTTCATTTCATACTGGCAGAGAGATGTTTAAAAAAAGAAAGCTAGATTACTGTCAAGTTAACCTAATCTACATTTGTAGATACTTCCATTTAAACATCTTAGTTCCTTATGGGATCGACTCTTTCTCCCTGTCTTTCCATAGTCCTGCTTTAAAAATTTTTTCCCTCCCTGTTTACTGTTAGAAAACCTTTAGGCTCCTCTGTTTGTTGAACTTTCTCTTGGGCTTGTTCAAGACTATAGCAGTGGAGTTGGTATAGTCAAAAGGTGTCTTGGGCCGCTTGTTACTAAGCATGGGCGTGGCCATAATTACTGGAATGTACCTTAGCAGATATTTTATTACAGAAAGTTGGGGAGAAGAGGGTACATAGTAAGAATAAGAAAAAGATGTGGGCAGAATAGTGTTTCTTTTAAACAATCATGTTGGTTTCCATAGTATCACTTTCTGTCAAAAGTCATGGACACAACAGAAAAAACACAGGCATCCCTCAGGAGACAGTGCTATGGCCATGTGATTATTTTCTGTTTTGAGCTGTAGTTTTCTTGCTCTATATGTTGTACCCACTAGATTTTAGAGGGGGCACAAATAATTGCCATCTGAAATAGGACAAAACTGTACCTGAGCTATCAATATTGTTTCTGCTATACATTTCTTTACCTTTTTTTGGGGGGGGGTGTGATGTGTGTGGTGGTGTAGACTGTTTCCCTATCTCACTCAGTCTGAAAGTGCAATGGCCTTTGGTGACCCCAACTCCGCTTCTGATTGGCATGGAAGCCTTTAGCTGCTCCATTGCTGACCTAGGTCTTTTCATCTGTTCTTAGGTAGCCTGCTTCCTGGGACCTCTTGCGTCCTGGGGCTCACCATAGTGGTGTGGGCATCTAATCAACTAAAGCCCTAGTACAGCTTATAACTCAGGTGGTCCACCATCTTTAGCTTCCTTAGTAGCAAGGATGACGGGCACGTGTTCCATCACACCTTGCCCATTACCTTACTCTGTAGGAGTTTGCATTGTGTCTATGTACTGAATTGCTTTTGCTGAACAAAAAGATTGTATATGAAATTGTGTACTTGTGTTATGTACAGCTTTTTTTTTTAAAGTACATATTAAACTTAACAAGGTAGTATCAATCAACAAGCATTTCTCCTTCAGGCCCTGTGTTACATACACTGGCCATACATTTGTAAAGAATGAAACAGTGGCCATTCTGAAGGAGATTATATTCTGTTGGGGAGGCAAAGAATTGCCCTGTTTTTGTCCCTTTGTTTTAAAATGTAATATTTTCCTTTTTTTTCCTTCTGTATTAGTACTATACCCCACTCCCCCAATAGAAGCTCTCTCTTCTACACCTTTGTTACAAGAGAGGCTTCTGTAATAAACATAATGAAGCAAAACAGATGCATCCTTCGACCGTGTTTAAAAAGTGTACTTCTTCCAGGTGAGAGGCAAGCTTTGTCATCCACCTTCCAGTCAGCATTGGTTACTGTTGATCATTGCTCTGTGTTCTGCTCATTTTCTTCTCTATCACCTCATAAGTTTTTGCAACAGTATTCTTTTACATTCATGTACCATTTTGTTCAGTCTTTTCCTAATTAATGGACACCTATTTTATTTCCAGTTCTTCACTACCACAGCAGATACTGCTGTGGAGATTGTCTTTGACCACAGGTAGATGACCACACTTGGTATTTCTGGGTCAGTAAAGTGATTTTTCTAAGTGTGGTTCTAAATTACTTTCCAAAATTGTTTTCACACTTCCCTGGTAGTATGCCTGTCTGTGGCCTTGTTCAGTTAACATCTTCCTTGTTTGTCATCTTCACCTGTTTGATATGAGGTACTATAACCTCAGTTACTTAAATTTTTGTTTCTCTGATTAGTGATTTCAAGTATTTTTTTGTATGGTTATTGATGATTGTGTTTCTTTGAAATCCTTATAGCACTTATTGTGGGAGAATAGCTCTTGATGTAAGGAAATATATGGCAATTTTTTTTTTTTTGGCTAGGCAATGGGGTTAAGTGACTTGCCCAGGGTCACACAGCTAGTGAGTGTTATGTGTCTGAGGGAGCATTTGAACTCGGGTCCTCCTGAATCCAAGGCCAATGCTCTATCCACTGCGCCACCTAGCTGCCCCACTTTTTTTTTTCCTTTGTGATGCCACCAGGTTGTGACTTGTCCAGAGTCACATAGCTAGTAAGTGTCAAATGTCTGGGGTCAAATTTGAATTCAGATCCTCCTGACTCCAGAGATCGTGCACTGTCCTCCGTACCACCTAGCCACCCCTCTTAATTGTGCTTCTAATTCTTTACTATGATGTTGCTTATTTGTAAAAGCTTTTAGATTTTTATTTACTAATAATCTCTATTCATTGTTCAGAATTCTCCCTTTTGCCATAGTTATTAGGAAAAGTACCTGTTAAAAAATAAAAGAAAATACGACATGACTATATTTAGGGCATGTATCTTTGGAATTTTTGGTATATGGTTTTAAGAAGTTGATCTAAGCCTAATTTCTCTCACACTGCTACTATGATTGCTTCTTGGTCTTTTTTACCTAATTTATTTGATTAAGCACCTTTTTATTTTTTAAACACTACTAAATAGTTTTGGTTACTGCTTTGTGTATGACTTGATATATGGCACATTTTCAGTCCGCTTGGTCTTTTTCGTTGGCCCCTCACTGATTTTTCACACTAATAAATTAAAGGTGACCGTTAACTATAACGTATCAAAGTGAAGCCTAGTAGCAAGGTGGCCTGCGCAGAGAGGGGAGGTGGGCTTCAAGATGACCACTGTGCTGAACCTTCATGAAGGGAGCGGCTTGTTTACTGCTCTGTAGCCTGGTTTCTTGGAACTGGTAGCTCCGTAATGCTGTGTAGAGAAGAAATAAATCTGCGCTTCAGAAAGCATGGAGGTGGTTCACTCATCTCTCTGTCTTCCCCACCAGCTCTTAACGTGCTGAGAGTCTTAGTGTTGATAAATGCCATATGTGCGTGTCTTCTGGCCTACCAGAAGTTGCAGAAGTTCTGTGGTCATGAATCCTCTGCTTTCTTTAATCTACATACAGATTTTTCTTGTTTGTGTAAATAGAGGCAGAGGGGAGTAGAGCCCTTGCAGCCTGCTTCAGCCTGCTTCATGGGAAGCTTGGATTGTATTGTGGGTTACAGTTGCAGAGCACTGTAATATGTGTCACCTCATTTTGTCTTCTCCATGACACTGGAGAAGTGTATGTAGCATAGGTATTACAATTTCCCTTTTGTGGTAAACTGAGGCACATTAAATCTGATTGAACAGCAAGTCAATTACAGCTTTGTGCTGCTGGGTGGAAGCAAATCTTTGGCCTCGGTGGTTGCTGGTTTTTCCCCAGTAAGTTGTGCTGTGAGTTTGATCTAGTAATTTTCCCTTTTCCCTCATGTACGCTTCCTTTGTTAAATAAGGGCTGGACTGGAGATCTCAGTGGTAAGGGAGCTGCCAGGTGAGGAAACCTATTATTGTGGACCAGAATTTTTGAGGCTTAGAGATTGCCTAGCCACTTGGAGAGGAGGTAGATTTTTGTCAAATAGTGAGTTCTTAACCCAGAAGCTGGAACCTCTGGATTTATCAAACAAATTACTGCAGTCGTTTACTGCTGTTTCTTGTGTACCTATTCCACTGATCCAGCACTCTATTTCTTAGCCAGTACCAAGTGATTTTGATGATTGCTGATACAGAATACAGTTTTAGACCTGGTACAGCTAGGCCACTGTCCCTTGCATTTTTTTTTTCATTAATTCCTTGATATTCTTAATCTTTTGTTCTTCCAGATGAGTTTTGTTATAATTTTTTTCTAGCTCTATAAAATAAATTTTTGGTAGTTTTGGTATGGCACAATTTAGGTAAAACTGTCATTTTTATTATATTAGTTCAACATACCCATAAGCAATTGTTATTTTTTCAATTGTTTAGATCTAACTTTGTGTGAAAAGTGTTTTGTATATAGCTCCTGGGTTTATCTTGGCAGGCAAACCCCCAAATATTTTATATTGTCTACAGTTATTTTGAATAGAATTCTCTTTCTATCTATTGCTGCTGGGTAATATATAGGAATGCTAATGATTTATGTGGGCTTATTTTGTATCCTGTAATTTTGTTAAAGTTGTTAATTCAAGTAGTTTTTTAGTTGATTCTCTAGGATTCTCGAGTATACCATCATAGCATCTGCAGAGTGAGTTTTATTTCTTCATTGCCTATTCTAATTCTTTCAATTTCCTTTTCTTATTGCTAAAGCTAACATTTCTAGCACAATATTAAATAATAGTGGGGATAATGGGCCTCCTTGTTTCACCCCTTATCTTGTTGGGAAAGCTTTTAGCTTATCCCCATTACATGTAATACTTGCTGATGGTTTTAGATATGTTACTTATCATTTTAAGGAAAACTCCATTTATTCCTATGCTCTCTAGTGTTTTTACTTTGGCTGAAGCGTAATATATTCTGCTCCAGCCTTTTGCCTTTACTCCGTGTGTATTTCTCTGCTTAAAATGTGTTTCTTCTAAACAACATATTGTAGGATTCTGGTTTTAATCCACTCTGCTATCCTCATGCGTTTTATGGGAGAGTTCATTCCATTCACATTCAGTTATGCTTACTGTGTATATCCTTCTGTCCTTTTTCCCCACTCATTATACTTTTCTCTCTCTTTTCACCCTGCCCCTCCTTACCAGTGTTTTGCTTCTGACCACCATCTCCCTCAACCTGCCCTTCCTTCTATCAGCCCCCTCTTCCCTTTTGGACTTCTTCATGTGATATAGTTTACTCTTTTGCTTTCCTCTTCTCCCAGTACAGTCCTTTTTTTCATCCCTTAATTTTTTTTCCTATCATCACATCAGTCAACTAATACCCAGACCCTCTGTTGGTGTGTACTCCTTCTAACTGCCCTAATAGAGATAGAGTTCTCAAGAGTTAAAAGTATCATCTTCCTGTGTAGGAATGTAAACAGTTAACCTTATTGAATAACATGTTTTTTTTTCCTTCCTGTTTACCTTTTTATGCTTCTTTTGAGTCTTGTATTTGAAGATCAGATTTTCTGTTCAGTTCTGGTCTTCTTATCAGGAAAGTTTGAAAGTCCCCTATTTCATTGAATGTCGATCTTTTCCCCTGAAAGATCATGCACGGTTTTGCTGAGTAGTTGATTTTTGCTTGTAATCTAAGCTCCTTTGTGTTCAAGAATATCACATTCCAAGCTCTCAGATCCTTTAATGTTGAAGCTACTAAGTCCTGTGTAGTCCTGACTGTGTCTCCTTAATATCTGAATTGTTTCTTTCTGGCTGTTTATACTCATTTTCAGTTCCCTACATGTGGAAATGTTTGTGTTTTGTCAAGTTCATAGTAAAAGAAAATTTAAAAGTTTTACAGTGATATTTAAGATTTAGAAGTCTTCATTGTATAAATATTCTTTTTTTTTTCTTTTTTTTCTTTTTGGTAAGGTAGTCGGGATTAGTGACTTACTTGCCCAGGGTCACACAGCTAGGAAGTGTCAAGTGTCTGAGGTCTTCCTGACTCCAAGGCCAGAGCTTTATTCACTGTGCCACCTAGTTGCCCCATATAGATACTCTTAAGAACATTTTGTAAATTGCTGTGGTATTTAGGTTTTTTTGGCATCACATTTTACCATCCTTCTACCAATATCTTGGGGCTTGCTTAAAAAATCATTAGGACTAGTAGCTGTTTTGAAATAATTATAGAAAACTGAAATTTGTGTGGGAGAAAAAATTAACTATATCTTAGCAAATCAGGATTCTCATAGTTTAAAAAACTGACATGTGCCTTGTCAACAAAATGACATTTTTTTCCCCCAAAAGTCTCAGCATCTTGATTTGATGTTTTAAAAGGGTAAACTCCTTTTATTGACTAATGAATTTTTTCTTTAGGCACATATATTTACTATGCTTATCTCAAGTGCTCCTTTCCAACTTACACCCACACTCTCTTAGAAGATATATTCTCCTGGTAACAGTTACTGTCTGTTGACAGAATGGAGGACTGTGTCTAACTTTCAGGGTATGATACTAAAATTGAGTGCTGTAACTGACTAGAGCTTTGTTGCTGCTCCATGTTGTCTTAGAATTTATAGCATTGTAGTCACTTCTCTCATCGTTTAATTCAGTCTCTATCACTTCATAAGTTTCCCTGTTTCTTAGGATTTTTTATATTTGCTATTCCCGTTGCTTTATTTCATTCATGTGCCATGATTTGTTCAGCAATTCTGTATTCATTGGACACAAAATTGTTTCCTGTCTTTTATCACAAATGATGCTGCTGGGAAGATTATGTACATACCTATTCTGGCTTTCAGTAACGTCCTTAGGATACAGGCCCAGTCCTTGAATCTCTGACTAACATTTCCTAAGAGCAAATATTGATTTGTCAACTTTCAGACACCTTCTAATGGATTCTTTGAGTGTGTTCAGTTTATCATAAGTTATAAGTAACTCATATTTGCACTGATAATTGATGTCAATAGACATGGTGCCTAAGATAACATGAACACATTAGATTTTCTCTGTGGTTTTTCCTGACTTGGAGGTTTAAAGGATTGCAAATGCTTTCTTAGCAGTCAGTGTCCCGCTCATTTGAGCCCTTGCCCTAAAGAAACAGTATCTTTGCTTTTTTGCTGACAAAAAAGAAATGGAGCAAATTACTTACACTGAATTAATTTCTACCATTTACTCCTTACTCTCCCCCTTCCTGGTGTAGCTCTTTGAGTCATCTCTGTTTTCCTAATTATAGCTTTCTTAAGTCCCCTTCATTTTTTTTATCCTTATTCCTTTTGCTTGCCCTTGTCCCAGTCAGGGATTAGAGTAGGAGATTGGTATGTCTCTTACATTATAATTTTCAAGTCCTACTAATTAATTAGTTTTAGCCCTTTGGAAAAAGTCGTCCCCCCCCCCCCCACTGTCTTCCTGTCCACCCAAATGCCTTGGCACATAGTAATCCTTCAAATGTTGCATTGACAGACTTATTGCCTCTACTTAAGTGTCTTTATGATCTCGTGGGAACTCAGCGTATTTGCCACTTCCTAATTATAACCCATTTAGGTTCTCTTATTTATTGTGTGGAAAGCTTGTCCTTATCTTTCCATTGACTGACCTTGAGCTTTGCTGGTTTCCAGTAACCAGCCTAGCTAAGTAGAGTCGAATTACCTTAAATTTAACTTTTAGATGATTGTTCTTTTAGCTATAGCAACCCATGTATCAAAGTTGCTAAGCTATAAATGGTGTTATTAATGTAACATGAACACACTTATTTGGTCCAGAATGTCCATGCCAGTGATTCTGCAGGTATATATTTTAAGTAGTCCTCATCCTCGTGTTTTTCCTTTGTTTTCAAATTTTATTACTTGGGGGGAGGGCAGTGGCGGCTAGGCACTGATGTTAAGTGGCTTGAGACCAGGGTCGCACAGCTAGTAACTGTTATGTGTCTGAGGCCAAATTTGAATTCAGGTCCTCCTGACTCCAGGGCCGGTGCTCTATCCACTATGCCACCTAGTTGCCCCACTTATTTTAACATTAAAAAATTTTGAGTTCCAAATTCTCACCCCACCCCTTCCTCACCTATTAAGTTCATGTTTTCTTAATAGATTTTTATTACTGCCTTTTGCTTTTACATTACCTAGATTTCCCTCTTTTCCCTCTTCTAGTTCTAGAGAGCCCTCCTTCATAATAATTTTTTTTCATTATTTATGTATTTATTTATTTTTTGGTGAGGCAGTTGGAGTTAAGTGACTTGCCCACACAGCTAGTAAGTGTTATGTGTCGGAGGCTGGATATGAGCTCAGGTCCTCTTGACTCCAGGGCCGGTGCCGTATGCACTTTGCCACCTAGCTGCCCCGATAGTTTGTTTTCCAAAAGGAGAAAGAAGTGGGAAACAAAACCAGCCAAGTTTACCAGCATAGCAGATCCTTATCTTACTGTAAATTTGTCAGACAGGACTTGGGCTGAATTGTTAGGCACTTTGCTTGCTGTTCTTTCCTGAAATAATCAAAGCTTCCCTCTACAAGGCATGATGTGTAATATATATACTCTGCTTACTCTGGCTTCTTTTGTGCTTCAGATGGGTCTGCGAAGAAATACCGGATCTCAAGCTTGCCATGGAAAATTATGTTTTAATTGACTATGATACCAAAAGGTAAGCTGCATGATCTATGTTTTCCACTGCACATTGAGGACGGACTGAGTGCTTTGTGCCACAGCAGCCTGTAATGAGTTATCCATGGATGCTTCCAGGGCAGGGGCAGCTCTCCTTATCTTTGTGTCTCTGACATTCTTTGGGTAGGAGATGGGTAAAAGAAAGACTGGCAGAGGTGGACAGATTAAGGACATAACTGGAAATGACCTAGTGAGTGACCTGTTATCTATGGGAATTACTCAGCAACAATAGTCAGCATCTCCCAATGGGTGGTGGCCAGAAGTGGGGTTTGATCTGGCTCTGAGTCTTCTGGAAGCATCACCCCAGAAACCCCTTTTTAGAAGGAACTTCTCGCATTGGGTAAGCAGTTGCTTTTGTGGTGCTGCTGCCACCACCAGATGCCAGAAAAACTTTAACCTGTGAGAACACTAACTTTTCACGTGTCTAAAGTCCTTAATGATTTCCAGAGGACTTTTCTTACAACCACGCTGGGAGGAGGATCATAGGGTAATAATAAATGGCATATATATAGTGCTCATGAGCTTGCCAAGTACCTTGTATTTATTACCTCTTGAGTCTCAGATACAACAACCCTGTGGGGAGGGTCCTCCAGATTTTATTATTCACATGTTACAGATGAGGAAACAGAGGCTCAGATGTTAAGAAAGGAAGTGCCTGTGGTCAGCAAGTGTCATTGTCAGGTTTTCCTGACTCCTTTTTCCATATCCTGTCTTCCTTGCTGCTAGTTAAAATTTAGACCTGGCAGGAACCTTCGAGAGATCATGTAAGTCCAGCCTTCTCTGAGTGGTGAAGGTCAGGAAATCCCACAAAGGAGTCACATACAGAAGATACAGGGATTAGAGTCAGGGAGACCTTAATATCACTTTGGCCTCAGGCACTTACTAGCTGCGTAACCCTGGACAAGTCACTTAACCTGTTTGCTTTCATCCATTGGAGAAAGAAATGGCAAACCCCTGCAGTGTCTTTGCCAGGAAAATCCCATGGACAGTATTGACAGGCTCATGAGGTCACGAAGGGTCAGACAGAACTGAACTTTAGGGATCAGAGCCGTGTTTTATTTGGATGTAGGTCCTAAGGCTTGAAATCCATCAGAGCAAGTAGTAGTAGACTCAGTTTCTCTCAGAATGTACCTCCAATGAGTGGCAGTAGCACAGGGTCTAGAACATAGTAAGGGCTTAGTAAATGCATGGGCAGATAGGTGATCCAACAGATGAAGTACCAGGCCTGGATTCAGGAAGGTCTGAATTCAAATCCAGTTTGGTGACAGCTGGAGTGTGGTGACCTCTATTAAGCGGATAGAGCCAGGCCTCCTATTTTTGCACTGGATTGCTCTGCTGTGTCATTTGCGAGAGCAAGTCCCCAAATCTGGGGTTTTAGAAATAGTTTTTAGGAGGAAATTTATTTGGTCCAGAAAGGAGGTATGATTTGTTTCCTGCAGGCTCTGGAAGGTTTATGTTATTATGGGATTTAGACAGTGTTACTTACACAGGTACAACATGTAAAGCAGCTAAGCAGTTTTGCCAGAAGTCAATTTGAAAGCAAGGTAGAGATAGATAGAAGTAAATGTAAATATTCAATAAACTTTGGGCAAAACCAAATATAAGTAAGGGGAACCCTAAACGCAGGCTTGGCTGGGCCCAAAATAAGATCTGGGTGGTGGAAACCCAAAACAAGAATGTTTTGGGTGAATCCAGGACCTGGGGGAGACCAGAATTCATCTTAGCCATCCCTTGCATTGCTGGAGAGTTACTTTAGAGGCCAGGGAGACATTCTGGATTTAAATAAGTTCTGGTTAGATTTAAATAGTATAACGATAAGTTTTCTGAACAATGTAATATATGGCATTTAATAATACACAGTATTCATACTTATTCTTTGAACTAGCAGAAAGGTACTTTATTTGTGAAGATGTACTTGATGAACAATTATTGTGAGCCTGCTGCCTCCAGGAAGCTTTGTGCTGAGGGAGATTCGAAGTTTATAGAAGAAATGACCTTCTGCCATATTGAGTTCAGAGACAAACACTTTTCTATAACATACAATATTATGTTGGTCAACAAACATTTATTTATGAAGAGCGCTGACTGTGTGCTCGGCACATGGAGAGGAGAGCTCTGGTGTTTGGAAAGTGACTTCATCAGCTGAGCGGGTTGAGGTGGTACCGTGGGAGGTTCGAAGAAGAGCTTCTGTGGTGAATAGTAGAGTAGTAGAGGGAGTAGAGGACAGCCTTGTTACAATGAGGGCCTCTTTTTTGTGAGACTGTTTTTTCCCTCTCTAGCCTACTTTAGCATCAGATAAACAGAATTGGAGGGGCATGGTGGAAGTAGTCCATAGTTGGGGTTTGCTTAAAGTGTGATTGGTGAGATAAGATAGAGGAGGCAAAGTGTTTTTGTGTGTGCATTTTGAGAATTGGGAGAAAATGCTATGTCAAGTCTCAGGCTCATGATTGTTAACATAAATTACAGCTTCTGTAGAGAAGGACACTAGGAAGGGTTGGATGTAATGTTATAGCAGAGGGAAAATTTTAATAGAGAATGAAAATGGGAGGGGCCTGTCTCTGGAATGTCTTTCTGGAACTTTTTATTTCTTATTGGGAAGCAGAGAAGCAGATATTTGTTTCACGTGCTTCTGTGGTAGCTCTTGGCATGTATGAAATTGATATAGGGGCTAGCTAAACAAAACTGGGAGTGCTTCATTGGCAAAGTGCGGTACTCTCGTGATGCCCTGGCTTACTCTGGAAGAGAGAGGCCAGTCTGATTCTGTATATCCAGGTTTCATTTGACAGTGTTCTGGGCTCCCTTTCTCACCTTCTGAAGAGAAGTCTTAGTTCTTGGTTTGCTGCTTATGGCTACATCAAACCACTTGATAAATTTACAGGGTTCTTCGTTTTGTTCTTTTTATCAGTCAGATCAGTTTGCCATCAGACATTGGAATCTTTTCTTCTGTTTCCTTCCTCTTTCCTCTTTATATTAAAATGACTCATTTTGAATTTTAAACATCATTTTCCCAGGACAAACCAGTTTTGAAAATAGCCTTTTTTGTCTTTACCTTTAGCCTGGGTAACGTGAAAGAAAATCACTGATTTCTGTCTTGAATTTAAATGTCTTGGAAATTCAGATCTTGCCCTCCTCTATTTTGACCTACCTTGTGTTTAGAAATGCTAGTACCGAACTAGGTGGTTTACATGTTCATCGTCTACTGACTAGAGAGCTGGCTTTGTATTGAATTCTGGCTTTTTGTTATTTATTTGGCACTTTCAAGGTTGTAAAGCCCTTTGCAGAAAATTCTTTTTTTAACCTTGCAAAAACCCTGTGTCAAAAGTGCTTTTTTGGTTGTCATTTCTTTGGTGTAGAAGTAGAAGCAAAGCAGGGTTGGGGCTGGGAGGAGGAGCGCCTTCTCGTGCCTCCTCTTTGGGGGGCCGTGCTTGTTCACCTCTGTTTCAGGGTGGCTCTTTCATCTGCTTAGTTCTGGTCGTCCTGTATGTTGTGTTCTTGGCTCTGCTTGCTTCAGTGTGTGTAGAGCTCTCTTTGTAATCATAGTTTCTTGTACTCTTTTGGTCTGTAAGCATTTATTTGTTGTTGGTCAGTCATATCTAACTCCTCTTCTTCCTTACCTCATTTGGAGTTTCCTTGGCAAAAATACTGGAGTGGTTTGCCATGTCCTTCTCCAGCTCATTCTCCAAAGGCAAACAGGCTTAAGTGACTTGCCCAGGGTCACATAGCTAGTAAGTGTCCTAGGCTGGACTTGAATCCAGATCTTCCTGATTCCAGGCCTGGTAATTCCACCTGCTGTACCACCTATCTTCCCATGCATTTATTAAGCCCGCACTGTGTTCTAGACCCTGTGCTAAGCACTGAAGATACAAGGAAAGGCAGAAGGCACTCCCTGCCCTCAAGGAACTCGCCATGTAACGGGGGAGACCTCAAACAAAGGAGTGTGTACTGACAAGCTACATCCTGGATAAAGAGGATACAATGGGGAGAAGACACTAGAATTAAGAGGGCTTGGGAAAGGTAGAAGATGGATTTTTGGATGGTATTGGAAGGAAACGAGGGAAGCTAGGAGACGGAGATAAGGAGGGAGAACACTCCGGGTATGAAAGTGCCCAGGGTCTAGCGATTTTGAGGAATGGCAAGGAGCCCGTTATCATTGTATTGAAGAGCATGTGGGGGTCGGAGGTAGAGGGTATAAGGTGTAGGAGGTTATGAAATGCTTTGAACTCCAAGCAGAGGATTTTTTAATTTGATCCTGGAGGTGATAGGAATGCACAGGGAGAGGGAGCTGAGTATGGGGATGACACGGTCAGACCTGGGCTTTAGGAAAATCACTTTGGCAGCTGAATGCAGCGATTGCACTAGAGGAGCAGCAGGGGCAGAGGGGAGAAAGGGGCATGGTCAAGACGATGCAACAGCTTGGACATGGGGGTGATGAGAGAGAACGAGGAGCTCAGGAAGAATCCTAGGTTGTGAGCCTGAGGCCCTGGGAGGGAGGGTGAAGGGTATTACCCTCTCCAGTAGTAGGGAAATATAGAATAGAGGAGGATTTAGGGGGAAAGATAACATTCAGTTTTGGACGTGTTGAGTTGTAAGATGTCAATTGGACATCTACTATAAGATGTCTAAAAGGCAGTTGGAAGGCATCTACTTTGTTTTCATTTCCTTGATACTGGGAAAAAAAATGCTGCTATGTACATTCTGGTTACGTGTAGAGTTGTTTTTTTTTTAAATATCAGTGACTTCCTAGTGTTTGCCTAACCAAGGAATCTCTGGGGAAAAGGGCTTGGACAATTTAGCTACTTTATTGCATGATTTCAAGTTGTTTAATATATGAGTCTCTATTTAATAAGAACCTTTGGGAAAATTGGAAAGCAGTCTGGCAGAAATTAGGCTTAGACCAACATCTTATACCATGTTGTACAAAAATTCAAAGTAGATCTGTGACCTGAATATTTGAGATCATATTGTTTAAAATTAGAAGCAGATCATTTACCTTTCAAAGCTATTAATGGATTAAATCTTAACCAAAATGAGGTAGGTATAGAAGCAACTCCAAAAGATGTAAATAAAATAGTACTTGTTTGTTTACTCTTGGCTGATTCTTTGTGACCCTATTTGGGGTTTTCTTGGCAAAGATGTTGGAGTTGTTTGCCATTTCATTTGATAGATGAGGAATCTGAAGCAAATAGGATTGAGTGATGAGCCAGGGTCACACAGGTAGTGTCTGAGGCTGGATTTGAACGTAGGAACGTGAGTCTTCTTGACTCTGTCCATTGCGCTATCTAGCTATCCAAAATAACAATTGCCAGCCCTTAAAATGCCTTGCAGACTTTAAAGGCAACTCGGCAGTAACAACAGCCTGCATAAATCTGGTATTTGAAGCCATAGAACATGTCAGGTGGAAAGGGAAAAGGAACCAAGATTTAGTCTTAGGAAAAAACCCTCCTGAAGGAATGATCATAACAGGCAGCATGGATATAACTTATTTCATTTGATCCTCACACTAGGAGGTAGGTCCTGTTCTCATCACCATTTTATACATGGAGAGGATTGGGGCAGATGGCAGCAGGGCCAGCTTTGAGCTCTGGTCCTTTGCTGTCTCCACTGTGCCCCTGGCTGCCTTTATTTAAAAAGATGCTTTTCAATGAAAATCGTCTGAGTACACAATGCACCCATGACAAGAGGGGAAGTATTTGAATAGTTTTATAAAAAATCTTCCCATCAAATTTCTTAGATAAGGTTTGGTATCCCATATAGACAACTACCAGATACATGTAAGATCAAACGCCATCCTCCAGGAGAGGAGTGGTCAGAGGATAGCAACAGTGCCCAAAGTAAGAGTTGCAGACTTTTAGTCACATGAAGGAGTGGTCCAGGTCACTAATGATCAGTTACTCTTGAAGCAACTTGCCTCCTGTATTGTGAAAGGCTGTTGAGGAGGGCGGAGGAGGTGCCAAACAAGGCTGGAGGGCAAATCTGCTTGTGTGTTGGATTTTGTTTTTTAGATGAGCCCCGGGTCTGTGATTTCTTGTGTGGGTAGATCCCTCGAACTTAGTCTGTGTTTTTTAAGCCGATGCCTCTTTTATATATTTTAGTTGGACAGTTGCCTGGGTCCCTGAGATGTGAAGTGACTTGCCCATGGTCCCACAACTACTTTGCTGAGGCAAATCCTGTGGGGCCACCTGGGTTCCAGCCATCAGCTCTGGCAAGCCTTCCAGGACAACCATTCATTAATTCATTCAACAAACCTTACGTTGAACTGAATAAAAAGTAGAATGGTGAGGAGTCAGAAAAAATTGGAGGTTAAAAGAGGAAATGGAATTACGTAGTCATAGAGCTCAGTCATAGGGAGATAAGGTAGTAGGATTAACTTGAGTGTGCAGTATTTTGTCATGTGCATTATAGAGGTGCAAAACCTAGTTTTCTATGAGGTCTGGGGAAGGCAACTTGCTTTTGAGAGGAATGGTGGTTTCAACAGACTTGGGACTTCTGCCCTACTTCTGACATTTACTTGGTGAGCCTAGGAGTGTATCACTTATCTTCTTTGGGCCTCTATTTTCTTACCTGTAAAATGGAGACAATACCCATTGTAAAGAACATGTTTTGTATTTTTGTTTGTCTGCCTCTTCACTGTGTAAACTCCTTGTGGGTAGGGGTCATGTAATTTTCTTGGTTTTGTGTTTTGTATTTGTATTCCTAGCCCGGAGCTTAGGTCTTGGCACACAGTAAGCACTTAATAAGGATTTCTTTAATGGAATTTGGAATTTGGAAAAATGAGTTTCTCTCTCGGATCCCAGATGGAATGGTGATCCCCCCCCCATGATTGGATGGCCTGTATCTGAGCCTGATCTACCTCATTTGGGGGTATCCCTGTGTCTTAGTGATGCAGCTGGTGCCAAGGTTCTGCTGAGCCAGAGGCGGCAGCATCTCACCATGGCCCCTCTGGTGAGGGCTCGCTCGCAGCCGCCTCTTATGGTAGCTGCTGTGCTTCAGCACGTTGTTTCTCTGCCAAATTGCATCTTTTACCAATTAGTGGAAACCAAACCTTGACCTTTAGCTGTCAGGGGAGGGAGAGATTCTTCATAACCAGAAGATCAAAAGTGACTGTCAGAAAACCTAAGCCCACCTTGCCAGGACTGTTCATTGTAGGTCTGAAGATAGAGATGTCTGCTCTGTGGAGTAATGGGGAAAGGGCTGGATTTGCAGGCCAGTCACCTAGTCATTTACTTAACTGGATATATCTGTGATATACTTTCTGGTAGAATACACTTTCCTTGAGTAGGAATTATTCCTTTTGCCATTCTATCTTCAGGGCCTGGCAGAGTGGTTTGCCCCATGGAAGTGTTTGACTGAATGTGGAATTGAATTGAACTTTACCAGCCCCACTCACACAGGCCCTTTAAATCCTAGTTTTACCTTGGAAGAGATAATGAGAGATCAAATTTAAGATGCTGTGTAATCAAGAAGGTTGTTGTTGAAGAAACCAGGATGTCATTTTTCTTTTCTTGGGCGTTTTCAAACTTATTAGCCAACACAATTTGTGTGTTTTTCTTGTCATTTTACTTCATTGTATTATTTCAGGAGACCTACTCCTTTACTTTGTAAAAGTTGGGACGGGGAAAGATTTGACTTTGAAAATGGATGAACTTTTGAGCTCCTTGTTTTTGCTTTTTTGGCCTAAAAGCCTGGATCATTCCTAGGATCTGCTAACCTTGATTCTGAGTCTTTCCTAGGTGATACTGGTTCTGTTAATGGTTTATTTTGAATTGTTAAGTGATAATGAAACTTCACTTTTTTCAGCTTTGAAAGCATGCAGAGACTCTGTGACAAGTACAACCGAGCCATCGATAGCATTCATCAACTGGTAAGTATCAACTTTTGTTATGCCCCTGGTTTTGTGCTAGCTGGGAGTTTTCAAGTTTTCCTTCTTTGAAATGCCTTCCTAATTTGCTCTTAGCATCAGTTCCTCATTTTTCTTCATTCTGGGATAATGGTGATAGTGACAGTACTCACCTCTTATCATCTAGTCTTGGGGAGAATTAAATTGCTGTCCCCTAAGTGAAGGAAAATTTTACCACCAGGTCTTTAGTCTTTGCATCTGGAATGAGTAAAATAGCTAATTTGTCTCCAGAGCACTTGTTTATGGTTATAGGTTACAGGTCTCTTCTATGCTTAGAAGCCAGTGTCTTTAATCTAGGAATCCCTAACGTCATTACTTGAATAAAGAACAATGATATATGCTGGACCAGTTGTGGAAGATCTTTAAAACTGACTTCACTTTTAATGTTTTCAAAGGACTTATCCCAGTCTTATAATATAGGTAGCATAAATAGTACCTATTTTGAATCTGATGAAACTGAGGCTCACAGAGGTGAAATCAGTGTGTGTGGATGGATCCTCCTGCAAATTAATGTCAGAACTGGACTTTGCAAGCACACTTATGATTCTGTGCTTCCTTGAAAAATGCTAAAGAAAACTGGTTTCTTGAGTCCTTGTAAAATTGTCCTAGGTACTGTATCTGGGACAGCATGTATTTGATCCATCTTTCCAAACAAAAATTGCTTATTTGCATAAATGATACATAATAAAGTATTTAAATGCATGGAATTGGAAGAATATTAGACTTAGAATCTAGAGACCTTGATTTCTGAAACTGTGGGATCCTATGAGCAAGTCACTTAATTCTTTGGACCTCAGTTTCCTCCCCTGTAAATGGGAGTAAGACTTTTTAATGCAAGTGTTGTTGAGAGGAAACTCCTTCCATAGATGAGAACTGTTTTTACTACTGTTGTTATCTTGCCAGCCTTTTGAAAACATTGACACTGTTGTAATTTCAGTAAATTACCAGAAATAAAAATTTAAGCTTTTGAAACAGACCATGAACAGGCAGTCATTGCACAAAGATAGGCGTTTCTAAGAGCTGAGGATACCAAAAAGATGGGAAGTTGTTGTGTGCAAGGCCAACAGGTAGTTAGAATGAAATGGGGAGTGAAAGTGTAAGAAAACTGAAGATTGGGAAGAGGTTGGGCTCTGAAGGGCTTTGAACTTGAGGGTGATAGGGAGCTGCTGTAGCATACTAAGTGAAGAGGTGAAATGAGAAGTCTCTGTGACAGCTGCTTGGAGATGAGATTGGAGGAGAGAGGGACTTGAGAGAGAAAGAACAATTAGAATACTATCAATATACTGACAACGAGAAATAGCAGGCTCTGAAGTAGTGTTGGTGGCTGTGGGAGTGGAGAGAAGGGGGCATATGAGAGATACTGTGAGTATGAGAGAGGTTGAATTTGTAGGGGAGAGTGAACAGTTTGAGGTTGAGACTGGTTTTGGGATGGAGGATGAGGTTGTTGGGAAGAGCCGGAGTGAAAGACAATTAGTATACTGTGATGCCCCTAGGACATCTGTTTTGAAATGTCTGATAGACCATTGGTGTGATGAGTGACTGGCTCAAAGATACTAGTGCTAGTTGTACAGATCTGTGAATCACATGCTTAGAGGTGATAATTGAGCCCTGGGAGCTGATGATATTACCAAGTGAAGAGCGAAAAGAGAAGAGGGTCCAGAATGGGTGCACAGGAATCTCTTGCCCTAGATTTTGCCAATACTATCATCATAAAATACTTGACATTACTGGTGGTGGTAGACTAGGTGAATTTTAAAGTTGATGTATTGAGGATCAATCAGGAACATAGATCTGAAATGGGGGGGGTGGAGCTGAGTGGAGAGAGGCAATGAATAGAAGTAACTTTTTTTTCTTTGGGGGTGAGGCAGTCAGGGTTAAGTGACTTGCCCAGAGTCACACAGCTAGTTAAGTGTCAAGTGTCTGAGGTCACATTTGAACTTGGGTTCTCCTGACTCCAAGGCTGGTGCTCTATCCACTGCGATACCTTGCTGCCCCAATGGAAGTAACCTTTAAAAAAACTGCCAGAAATTGCAACTACTGACGAATTCCTAACCTGGTAACCAGTCTTTTGTGTGTTCTCCTTTTAGCTTGTTTTGTCCTCAAATAATAGCTTTGAAAGACTTCCCAAAGCGTACTATTTTGTAGTATAATAGTAAAAAATCCGGGGTCACTGCCATTCCTTGTGAATTGAGAAATCTGGAACACAGATAAATTAACTGAGGTGATTGTAGAGTTATTGTGTTATGATGGGAAAAAAATAGTGACTTTGAAGTTCAACCCTGCTTTGAATTCAGGTTCTTACTACTTATGTGGGCAGTTCTTTCGCCTTTTCAGGGCCTCATTTTCCTTTTTTGTAAGACTACATAGGAGGAGTTAGACCACATAGTCTCTGAGTCCCCGTTATAGTTCTAATGCCTACCATCTTATTTTGTTTGGAACGGGAAAATGATATGGCACATTGGACAGCAGGCTGGATTAGGAGTCAGAAGCCATGTGGGGATGGTCTCACTGCTGCCACTGACCTGAAGGACCTTAGACACATTACTTAATCCCCGTGGCCCTCAGTTCCTTGTCATTAAAATAAGTGTCGGTTAGACTTCAAGGCTTCCAAGGTCCCTCCCTTGCCTTGGTTGGGGCCGTGCATAGTTAGATTTTGTGGTCCACGAGCCATTGAGTAAATGGGACTTTCTCGTATTTTTAGGTGTCTGGACAGGTTATCAGTTTACAGCTCAAAATTGAAAGAACACCTTTCCCCATATCCCATTCTAGGGATATTTAGTGTCCAATTTATATCTTTAGGAAAAAGGATGAATTATTAGTGACTTGATCCAATTTTTTGTCATTGTTTTTCTACTATTCCTTTCCCTCCAATTCCTTTTAGTGGAAAGGAACCACCCAGCCCATGAAATTGAACACTCGGCCATCTAATGGGCTTCTTCGACATATCTTGCAGCAAGTATATAACCACTCAGTCACGGATCCCGAGAAACTCAACAACTATGAGCCCTTTTCTCCAGAGGTGTATGGAGAAACTTCATTCGACTTAGTTGCCCAAATGATTGATGAGATTAAAATGACAGAGGATGATTTGTTTGTTGATTTGGGCAGTGGTGAGTATATGTGAGCAAATGTTTGGTGATTTCCATGTTAACCAAAACGTGTGGTATGTTATAGATTAATTATGTCAAGGGGAAAAACTTCAGGGGCTATGAAAGCATAATGGGAGCAGAATGAGCAGACTAAGCTGGCCACAGCACTGATTTTGTCCCGCATGTTAAAAGCCCTTACCTAACTAGCCACCCTGCTGGCCAGAAGAGCCAAGGGCAGGGTCCGACAGTTCACAAGGAAGTTCCTCTTGAGAAAGTATGGGGCTGGCTCAGGTTCCTCAGTGAACATGTGTTCCACTCACCATGCCAGGTGCTGGGAATGTAATGTCTTTGTGGCTTTACTGGATGTTCAGCTGCTTCCTCACTAATACCCCGAACTTCTAGACCTGTATCTCGGATTCCTTTTCTTTGTTCTAAAATGGTAACTTTTTAGAACAACTGTCGTTTTGAGGTCCCTGAAATTTGACCTAAAAATATCTGGGGCAAGGGTAGGGCTTGCATCTCCCCTCTAGTAATAATGGTCCTTGAGCAAAAGACAGCTGGATCCCAACATGGAGGTTTGCTTTTCATTGATATGCAAGTTAGGATAGAGCAAGTGTATATGGTTATAACCTTCATTGTAAATAAAGGCAGTGTTTGGAAATTCATCTTAATTGAACTTATGTGGTAGTAGAGGGATTAGTTTTATTTTCCTTGGACTCTTCCTGTTAAGTCTTTTTTTCTAGTGTCTGGTATTCCATTGCACATGTAATCTGGTGTGTGACATAAACCAGTGAAGAGGTTGCTTAAAATAATAGCCATAAAGATGCTTTTACCGTTTTAGCATTCTTCAGAATAATACTTTTCAAAGGCACAACCTCCTAGCTGTTAGCTTTTTTTTTTTTTTTGAGGCAGTGAAATGACCAGCCCATTTCCAATTCATTTCCTTTCTTGGGATAGATTTTAAATGCAAATCTCCTGGCTGGATCATAGAAACATTTCTAATCTGGCAATATAGAACAGTCATTTTCAATGTGCTAACTTTTTGCTTTAATATTTTTTTAGGGGGGGATTGTAAATTGAAATATTTGAGTATTTGAATGAGATAAGCCCTCATTTGGTGGTGATATTGCTAAAGTGTGCCTTTTTTGGGAATTTTAAGTAATAAATAAGGATGATAATCATTAGGATTATAGGGTTTAGAGTTCCAAAGGACTCAAGAAATCTAGCCCACCTCCCCAGCCTGACCCTGCAGTTACAAATGAGGAAACTGAGGCCCAGAGGAGTTGACTTGCCTGAGCTCAGGTTCTGACTCCAGTTAGAGTGTTCTTTTTCTTGCTCTTTACTGCCTCATTATAGTGCTTCATTTAACTTCTTTAAAAAAAAAAAGTCAGCGATGCTTCTTATTTTCCTAGTGACCTCTCCTTGTCTTCCCCATTCCTTTGATTGGCTTGGGCATGTAGCTGGGCTATCCATTCCAGCCTCCCTCATTTTAAAAATCAGGAAACAGGCTGAGGAATGGTTTTTTTTTTTTTATCATACACATGGACAAGGATGGTTCCTCCATCCATAATGTGGCCATTTCTGGGATGGAACATTGTAGCTATTACAGGCCATTAGGATCACCACATCATAGCTAAGAACTGAAAATGAAAGGTCATCTAAAACCAACTGAATAATTAAGGGGGGGTAGTTCTTGGTAGGCAGAATGTGGGATAGAAAACTTTGGATGCTATCGGGGCTGTCAGAGAATCATAGAGAGCCAAGAGACCCCAGAAATCATTGTAGTCCATTCTCTTTAACAACCCTTCCCCTTACTTGGCCTCTGAACATGTTATGTTTCTGTAAAAGTACCTTCAGTGTCACTCTTAAGCATGAATCAGAATCAGGTCTGAAACCCATTCAGATTTAGATTTCAGAGAGAGTTTTTAAAGAAAGCAGCAGGGGAAAAAAAAGTCATGCATCAGATCAAAACATATTAGAAAGCTGAAATCTTTGTTAATGGCTTCAATATGCAAGATTACCGAGGTTTTACAACCCATATGTTATTAGTTCATTTAAAAAAAAGTTACTGGGTCAAAGGCAAAAGTTGGCTGCTCCTCACACATCTTATCTGAATTATATCTCAAGAATATTCTCAAAGAATTCATGCCAAGTTTCTCCTTATGCTCACAAGCCAAATTCTTTTTTGAAATAAGCCTCTGCATATCACTGTAATTATTTTCCCTCTTGGACACTATGTGCCAGAATGTGATGGCAGAATGAACTATTTTGGTATTTTCTCCTAAGATTTTACTTCTTGTAAAATACACTAGTGCATTGGACTAGCATTAATAAAATGGGCAGAGAAACTGCTCTATGTACACGACACATACAAAAGAAGTTGGCTAAAATTATTGTGTAATGCTGTTGGGAAGGCAAAGCCTTTAACTCAGTCTAGTCTCAACTCTGTCAGTAACTACCTCTGGGACCTTGGATAAGACACCCTAATCAGGATTTCAGTTTTCCCAGCTATCAAATGAGACTAAATGATGGCTGACCTAGCCTCAGCAACTCTGAGTAATGACTCTACAACAACATAACAAGAAGAAAGAAATAGGTATGCTGACACTGTCCATGTTTATTTATGCAACAGAATGAAATATTTCATAGGATTAAACTTCAGGGAGGACCATTTTTAGAAACTGGAAGTGACCAACTATGTCTTTCACCCTATTGATTTCTTCTTCTCTCTCTTCCCCAAACCCCCTTCAGGGTCAGGTCTGTGGCAGTTGCTTCTATATAGGAGTCTAAACTTTTAAAAGTATATATAATTACATTTTGTTTTTCATTACCTGACATTTTCCACTGTATTCCTTCACTTCAACTTCTTCTACTGTGCCATTCCTTATAATAAAGAATTTAAAAAGAGAAAGAAAATACCTAGCAAAATCAAAACCAAAAAAGCTTGTTGCAGATCAGAAAAGTTAAAAGCGGTATCAGAAAGCCACGGTCCCCAATATCTTCAAATTAGTGGGATGGGGAAGCATCCTCATAGCTCTTCTGGGGGGCTGCTCAGTTTCTCAGCATTCAATTTTGATTATGCTGTTGTTTGTAGTCATTGTATATAATTTTTTCTTGGCTCTGCTTACTTAATTCTGCATCAGTTTGTGTAAAACTTCTCGTGCTTCTTTGTATTCATTCATTGTTTCTTACAGCACAGTAATTTTGCATTACTCTCATACCATAATTTGTTTAGCTGTATCCCTAATCCAGCAGCATTTACTTACCTTTGCTACCACAAAAAGTATATATTAAAAAAATTTTTTTTTCAATTCTAGCTTTTATTTTTTGTTATCACATTGCTTGGATTTTCACCTGATATATTCTTCTCCCCTCCCCCCCCCAGCCGTCAACCAAGAGCCTTTCCTTGTCAAACTTCACCAGTGAAGTTTGGCCAGTTGCTCCTGTAGACATTTCAGTCCAGCTTGAGTCTTTCTTGTCAGCAGTCCCCCTTGGGATAGATGCTTCTCAGGAAGGACACTTCAGTCACCCTTTGTAGCATATTCAGGAATTGCTTCCCAGTTGTTTGGACCACCTCAGTTTCGCAGACTTCGAGTTAGTGTGCCTGTCTTTGCATGGTTTCTTCAACACTGTCATCTAATCTTTTGTCATCTTAACCAGTTCAGTTTCTTGGATGTGAAATGAGCCTTTAGGGTTATTGATTTATGTTCTCTTTACTAGTAATTTGGAGGATTCTTTCATATTGATTGCTTATTGTGTACTTTGACCACTTCCTTATTGGGGAATGTCTTCTGGTGTTATGTATTTCTACCAGTTATCTATCTGTCTTTTATAGGATGAGGATTGGCCCAATTGTCTATCTTTGTGTGGACCCAACTTTGTCATCCAGCTTGTTGGCAAGTCTTCCCAGCTTTGTTTCTTCTCCAGTTCTAATAAGCATAGCATCTATACCTTTAACCACATGATGGAGATTTCACGCATTATATTATTGCTATGTGGAACTTCCAGGGGTGTAATTTCCTTCTCCCAAAGCAGGTTAGCATGTTCTTTGCAATTTGCAGTCTTAGGGAGTTGTCTGGGGCCTTCTGAGGTTAAATGATTTGCCTAGAGTGAAACACCTGTGTGTGTCTTCATATCTTCATGCTGTGCTTCCTGAATTAGATTTCAGGCTGTTTACAGAGATATTTGAGGCAAAGAATCTTCCCCTCAGTTGATGACTTCTCCTGTTTATCCTATCTGCCTTACTTCTGTTTGTGCAAAAGCTTTTCAATATCATGAAATAAAAATTGGCTGTTTTTCTTTGGTAATTGCCTGTCTTCCTTATTGAATAATTCACACCATGCACATATTTCTTCCTTCCTTTCTTCCTTCCATATGATCTTGCATGATCTAGTCCCATATTCATTTTGACTGTATTGTGGAACATGGCCTAAAGTATGGGTCCAGGCCCCATCTCTGCCTCTCCCCATCTCTGCCTGACTTGTTTCTACCTCTCCTGCAGCTGTTGTCGAATAGGGAATTGTTTCGCAGGTTGATATTTTCAGCTTCATCTCACACTTGAGTTACTGACTACAGTTGTTTCTGATCCTTTTCTTGTCTACTCTGTTCCATTGAACAAATGTTTTGATGATTTCTGTTTAATAATATGTCTTGAAGTCTGGAAATGGTATTCCTGTCTTTTCTGTTATTTCCCTTGAGAATCTAGAGCCATTTTTCCTCCAAATGAATTTTTTTATTTTTTGCTAGCTCTGTGGAGTATACATTTAATATTTTGGTGCAGCACTAAATCTGTTAATTAACTTAAGTATCATTGTTGTTTTTATTATATTGGCACAGCCTAGTCGTGAGCACTAAACATTCTTCCAGTTAAGTTATTCTTTATTTAAGGAGTGTTTTGAATTGTACCTATTCCTGTATGGAGTCTACTTTAGTAGACTGATTCTCTGATATTTTATGCATTTTGAAACCAGTGGAAATTTAGCCTTAGCTTTCATCAGATTCCTTTACCAGTTATAGCCTCTGCTAAATGTCTTTGCAGCTTCCACAGGGTTTCCGGTTGATCATAATGTTTCTTCCATTGTTTTTCCCTCTCTGATAAGCTATAACAGTTGTGGAGGATCTCCTCTGAACTCCCCAAGTGGATTTTTCTCACTCTTACAGTTTAACCTTGTCTTACTAATTTTTGTCTCTTTGAAAGGAGTGGGGCAGGTGGTTTTACAAGTGGCTGCAGCCACAAACTGCAAGCATCACTATGGTGTGGAGAAAGCAGACATCCCGGCGAAGTATGCTGAGGTGAGGAGCATCCCTTCTGTACTGGAATTCTGTGATGGACTGGTTGTCTTTGTTTTGCTTTGGATCTGATACAGAGATTTGTTCTTCCAAAGTCATATCTGTTTGTGGTTGATCCAGTTAGAGAATTGCCCTGAATTTCATTCTCATTGCTCTGCTGGTGGCCAGTGTAAGTGGGCAAGGCAAACCAAGATGGTTGGACTAGCTCTGGTAGTTCTGATTCTGGTGCAGCTAGCTGGCTCAGTGGATAGAGTTCTGAGCCTGGAATCAGGAAGACCTGAGTGCAAATCCATTCTCCAACTGTGTGACTCTGGGCAAGTCACTTAACCTCTGTTTGCTTTAATCCACTGGAGAAGGAAATGGCAAACCACTCTGGTGTCTTTGCCACAAAAACTCCTTGGATGCCATGGTCCCTGGGGTCATAACATGTCAGATACAACTGAACAGTAGCAAAGTTCTGATTTTTGGTATGCTGTTTAAAAAAAAAACTGTTTTCATTTCTTCTCTTCCTCCTCCTCCTTTTGTCTTGAGGAATTTCACTTGGATTTATGAGCATTGTCAATAGTACATTTATAAATTTTAACCATGTATTTCTTGGATTTGACTGTACTCTAAGCACTGAGTTGTGAAGTCCTTGGGGCTGCCCCAGTGTATAAAAAGAACAAAGGTTCAGACTACTGTGGTTAAGAGCCCTCCTAAAAGATTTGTTGGGAAAGCATGTTGAAAGTTCTGAGGTAAAGGGTGGTTTCTGGGTTCATTCAGTGCTTACAAGTGTAAGGCACATGGTTTATTGACAGCAAGACATAGTGGATAGAAAAGAGATCTGGGTTCATAGCTTTTGTGAGTTGTCCTATGAAGTCTGACATGACCTTCTAGGTGACATTGGGCAAGTCACTGAACCCCTCTTAGTGCCCTAGGTGGAGGGAGATCACCCTATGCTAATGAAATCATGAGTTTGGACCTAAAAACAAAGAAACTGTTTAGCATCTGTCAGTGTTCCATTAACAAGTGTTTTAAGTGCCAGTCATTGTGCTAGGTGATGGGATACAGATATAAAAGTACTGAGCCTTGAAGGGAGGGAGTAGGGGTTCCAAGAAGCAGAGGTAAAGAGAGCTAGTGTAAATTTATGCCTGGAGAGAAGAGAGAGAAGTGGTACCTGAGTGGGGATAGCAAGGAAGCCATTTTGTTTGGTTCTGTTGTAGGGTATGAAGGGGAATGATCAATGTGGAAAGATAGATTAATATGCCAGCTTTCAATGCCAGTTAATTGGACAGGATTGAGTGGATGAGCAAGAGTGAGCAATCGAGGATGACTTCTAGGTTGTGAACCTAATAGAAGAGCCGTGATAGAACAGTTTTTTGAATAAATCAGGCAAGAGAAAATATCTGGGAAGGGGAAGGGGTTTTCTGCATGCAGTGTCACGCTTCAGGGAGTGAAAAGAACAGTGAGGTCCAAGATATGGCAATAATGGTTGGTGATACCGACAGGACAAGTTGAGAAGTCTGGTAGGAACATGGAGGCAGAGTCTGCTGGGTGCTGGGGGTACTGATGTGGAAACAAAGCAGTTGAGGCCTCAAGGGTCTTAGTCTTGGGCACAGATAGAGATTTCTTATGACGCCATCTTTGTTGTCATAGCCTTGAACATACCTTGTGAAGACAGAGCTTCTGATTGAAGGGTGTGTGTTTCTGGGTCTTCTTTAGGAATTGGTCAGAATAGAGACTTGCTATTAAGTATTTTTTTAACCTGTATATTATCTTGATCAATAGTCCTTTGCTATGGCTAAGCCTTTAAAAGTGGAAAGAATCAGTCTTAGTCTAATCCTTTTTAATGAAGAGGGGGAAATAAAAAATTTTGGGGGTGAAAAAAGGCAAATTTTGTAAAATATTGATCGGGGCTGCTTCTTTGCCTAATTTTCCTGAGAATGTAGTATTTCTATTGAACTATATCCTTTTTCTCTTCTTTTAGACAATGGACAGAGAATTCAGGAAATGGATGAAATGGTATGGGAAGAAGCATGCGGAATACACAGTAAGTTACTATACTGATTTGGAAGATTTACGTACTGTTTTTTGTTTTGTGGGGTTTTTTGGTGGCAGGGGACACAATCAACTTAAACTCTTATTCCTTTACTTACATTTTTCTAAGGGGGAGGTATAAAGTAAAATATTAAAGTTTGCTTTTTAAAATACAATTTCTATTGATATCGTGTTTTTCTTCACGTGCACTTTTAGCCACATGGTTAGTAAATGTTTATTAACTACCTACTATTTGCCAGGCTGTGTTGGGTCTACAAAGAAAGACAAAAGACAGTCTCTGCCCTTAAAAAGCTCAGAGACCAGTTGAGGAAAGTACAAATAAATATGCACAGACAAGCTCTGTACCAGATAAATAGGAAGTAATTAGTGGGAAGAAGGCCCTAGAATTAAGTGAATTAAGGCCTTAAGATTGGGAAAGTCTTCCATAGAATTGGGACATGAAGGAATCAGAGATAAAGAGGGAGAGTGTTCCAGTCATGGAGGACAGCCATGGAAAAGGGCCAGAACTGAGGGATTCATGGGATAGCCAGAAGGCCAGTGTCACAGGATCAGAGGGATAGGTAGAGGCGGGCATGAATTACAAGCAAAGGTAGGAGGAGGGTAGGTTATGAATGGCTTTGAATGCCAAACAGCGTTTTGTTATTGATCCTAGAGGCAATAGAGAGCTGTTGAAGTATATTGAGTAGGGAAGTGACTAGACCAGCATTTTAGGAAGATTAGCTTGGCAGCTGAATGGAGAATGGAGTGGAGTAGGGAGAGAATGGAGGCGGGCTGACCCACCTGCAGGCCCAGTGTAGTGGCAGTGTACAAGGAGAGAAGAGGCTGTATTCAAGAGGTCAGATTGACAGGCCTTGAGGCAGTGGTTTGGACATGGGGTGGGGGAGGGGAAGTGAGCTACAGCAAGGATGCAAGGATGATTCCTAGGTTGTGAGCCTGGAGGTCTTGGGGGGGGGTGCCCTGGACAGAAATAGGGAAGTTTGGAATGAGGAGGGGTTTGGGGGGGGGAAAGACAATAAATTGAGTTTTGGAACTATTGAATTTAAGATGTCTACTGGATATAGTTTGAGATGTCTAAAAGGTAGTTGGAGGGAGACAGCAGACTGGAGGTAGAGGGCTGGAGAGGTAGATTTGAGAGTCATTAGCTAGAGATGATAATTAAATCCATGGGAGCTGCTGAGATCACCAAGTGAGGTAGTACAAAGGGAGAAGAGAAGAGGGCCCAGTAAACCTAGAGTCTGTGGAACATCCACAATGAGTGGGTGTGAACTGAATGAGCCTCCAGCAAAGTAGTCAAAAAGTAGTGGCAATTAGACAGGAGGAGAACTAGGAGAGAGAGAATGGTGTCCCAAAAGCCCAGAGAGAACATCAAGGGATAGAAGGGTGATCATTAGTGTCCAAGGCTTCAGAGAGCTCAAGAAAAATGAAATGAGGCAATTTGGACGGCACTGGTAACTTTGGAAAGAGACATTTCAGTGAAATGATGAAGTCAGAGTGTTGGTAAGTTGTGACATCTATTTTAAATGGTCTTCTCAAGGAGTTTTGCCACAAAGGGCAGAGGAGATAAAGGGCAACAATAGTGAAGATGGAAGGATGAAGTGAGGGTTTTTTGAAGATTAGCCAGGTGAGCATTTTTGGAGACCCTCAGGATGGAGCCAGTAATCAGAAAGTGCTAGAGGGGCCAGTCTGTTGGAGGGGATGAGATAGAATGGGGTGGCTTGTACAGGCAGAGGGCTTAGCCTTGGTATAGAATAAAACCACCTCTTCAAGTGAGACAGGTGTGAAGCCTCCTACACACCACGCATGCACACTATATATATAGTAACGGAAGGCATATAAGTGATAGAAAATGAGATGAAAAAGGGGGCAGCCAGGATGTTCAGCTGAGAAGGAGGGCTGACCAGATGTGGAAGAGTCTCTGTGGCGAGTGGGAGAGTGAGTTGATAAGGGAGGTGGAGTAACATTGCCCTGGAGCAAAACTTACCTCCCAGGAACTCCTCCCCTTACCCTCTAGTCTAGTTTTGCCCTTTGGAGCTCTATTGATCAAATGAACAAATACCAATCAGCACCTGTAGGTGTTTTCCCTCCCTCACTGAGAAGACTGCCCTTGAGTAGGGGGAGTACAGATTCTGTTTACATTAACTGTAACAATAATGAGCTCTCAATGACAATTATCCCAAGAATGAGTCAGGGGAATTCTGTGTAATATATTTCCACCTTTCTGCTTCCAGACCAAAATTGACTTTTTGTCCACCCCTACCCTTCAGTCCTCTCCCAGGCCATCACCCATGCTCTCTGCTCTCATCTTTTTCTACCCTCTGGTGAACCAGTTCAACTCTACATTATGTTTTCATAAGCAGTGAGCAGGTTAAAGAGCCAAGTGATTTGGGTGTTTTGAGGGAGAGGCAATATGTTAGGGGAGCAGAGAAAATTATGAGCCATGCATTGAAAGCTTTGAGGAAGTGTTGTAGGGGGGGAGTATTCTAGATGCCTGCAGGTGATAGTTACAAGGATTTTGATTACGTGGAAGATGTGGATTATCTGGACCTCCCAGAAGGAGAGTTTACTGAGTGGTGGAAGTGGGGAGAGAACTTTGAAGTAGTAATGGAGAGCAAGGAATATTTCAGTGAAGTGAAGGGAATAGAATAAGTGAAGGTGCAGCCAGTATTAGAAAGGGTGGCCAGGAAGGCTGTGTTGTGTCATCAAGGGGAACCTGGTCTTCGTGATTTCCCACTGTTTCTCTCTCTCTGGCTCTTCTCTAAGAGCCAGCCCTTATGCATTTTAAAAGGAAGAAAAACTCATAAAATAACTTGTTATTGAAATAATCTCACATTGGTTCCCCCAGTGAAAATCATGATGACTGCGTAGAAGCTTTCCGTATTCATTTCTAGTAGTATTCTGTGGGTTTGGAGGAGAGGATTGCTTCTACAAAAGCCATAGGTAGATAAGCAGGCAGGACTGCCAGCTGCCACGGAGATGACGGCGTCCAAATGGTGGCTGGTCTCCTGTTGGACAGTGTGGCTACCGAGTCCTTGTGGTTTGTCAGTATTACACAGTGTGTGGCCTTCCTAAGGCCATGCTCTGGACGCCGAAACAAATGCACTTCAAAAGCCTGTCATGTGCTTACTGTTTGCTTTTCCTTTGAAGGGGGTGCAGCAAGGTGGCACAGTGAATAGAGCACTGCCCCTGGCCTCATGAGGAGCTGAGTTCAAATCTAGCCTCAAGATATCTACTAGCTGTGTGACCCTGAGCAAGTTGCTTAATCCTGTTTGCCTCAGTTTCCTCATCTGTAAAATGAGCTGGAGAAGGAAATGTCACACCACTCCAGTTTCTTTGCCAAGAAAACCCCAAATGAAGAGTCTGACGTAAACCAGCTGACTCAACAATTTCTTTGAGGACTGCACCACCTGCTGGCGTGCTCCAAGTATCACCTGCTCTTGACACACCTGTTCAGAATGCTGGTGGGCTCGCTATGCTTTCTGAGCTAACCTTGAGGAGGGAGAAATATAAAGACTGGAGGGTGTCCTAGTGTCCGTGGTGTGTTCTACCTAGTTAGCATTGTTCAGATGTGATCCTGCTGGTTACCACTCCAGTAAAGTTTTTTCATGTTGTTGAAAATGTTTTAAATTGTGGTCCTTGATTATTTCAAAGCAAAACAAAAGTTCAAACATCTGTTGTAAAGATGCTGTAACTGTCCAGTTGAAAGTATCCTTGTGTGTCTTGAGGCAGTGGGGAGGAGCTCCTGTGGTAGTCATGATAGGGTAGAGGTAGCAATGTAAAAATGCTAGATGACAAACGTTTCAAATTTAGGGCGTTTTTCTAGTATTCCTGTCTAATCCCTGACAGACCCAGCTGGTATTCCCTGCTCCTTAGAATCTGTGCTGCCTGTGTGAGCTGGCAGTTTCTTTAATCCTCAGTCTCCTCATCTTTAAAAGAAGGCAGTGGACTCACATGGGGAGTTTTCTTGGCAGACATGCTGGAGTGGTTTGCCATGTCCTTCTCCAGCGGATTAAGACAAACAGAAGTTAAGTGACTTGCACAGGATCATACAGCTGAGTGTCAGAGGTTGGATTTGAGCTCAGGTCTTCTTGACTCTAGGACTGAGCCACCTAGCTGCCTCCAATGGATGACGTTACCTATAAGCTTTATACTTTTATGCATTTATTTAGTTTTTGAATATTAAAGCAGTATTTTTGAATTGTTGAGGGGCACATTCTATCATTGTGTTTTGTGAAGTCCCCATGTGTTCAGAGTGTTGTGCTAAGTGCTGGAGCTATAATGCTATTTCTACCTGAAGGACTTGATGATCTAATGTGCATTCCCTAGATGCAGACCCAATGGTTATTATTTAGATTCTGCATGTTCTGCCTCCCCCCCCCCCCCACTGCTTACGTACCTTTTTAGAGCTGCTTATATGTAGGAGGAAAAAGAAGGGGGTGGATCACAGTGTTCTCAAAGCAGTCTGAGTTGGGGGGAATGTTTGAGTGTAAGTAATTACAGCCTTTCTTTGGGGATTTATGCACATGTTCAGCTACTAGATCCAGCTTAAAATTTGAGTATTGCAGTTAACACAGACAAATGGTATTTCGTAGTCTCTCAGCTGTAAACATCCTCTTGGGCCCTGCCCTCAACGTTTCTAGGGCAACTCATCGATAACCCACTTCGATGTGTCTTTATTTAGGGTGTTTATTAGAAGTTGACTCTATATCCCATGTTTCCTGCCTGTCTACATAGTAGCCTAGTAACCTCTAAGCCTGCCAGCATTGGAGATTTGTGCAGCCTTATATTGATAGTACAAAGCTGGATCAATTAATCAGTAAGCATTTATTAAGCAGCTACTATGTGGCAGGCGCTGTGTTGGGAATACAAAAAGAGAAAAGGAGCTTATGGTCTAATAGGGAGACAAAATGTAAAGAAATAGATACAAAGAAAGCTATACAAGATAAATAGAACATAATTAACAGAAAGAAGATAGTAGAGTTAGGATGGGTCAGA